ACATCATCCTCGCTGAATCGGATGACAACGACCTCGAGGACCTCCGCGAAGATGATGTTGAACAGCAGTGGGGATAGCACACACCCTTGTCGCACGCCCTGTGTAACGAAGAAGCAGTTCGATAGTTTTCCGTCGTCCATGCGCACCCGGGCCCGCATTCCATCGTGGAATTGGCGGATGACTTCGATCAGCTTCGCGGGAATCCCGGCCCTGGCCAGCACCTTCCATAGCATCTCTCGGTCCACCGAATCATACGCCTTGTTCAAGTCGACGAAGCACATGTAGAGCGGTATTTTCTTTCTCCGCCCCAGCTCCTGGAGGCGGCGCACGACGAACAGCATGTCGACGGTGGATCGCCCGGGTCGAAATCCGCCCTGTTCCTCCGGGAGGATGTTGTTGGCTTCGCAGAAGGCGGTTAGACAGTTGGTGATGATCTTGATGGGGACCTTGCCTACGTGAGATAGTAGCGAAATCCCCCTGTAGTTGTTACAGTTGGACCGGTCACCCTTCTTGTACAGCACCTTGATGGTTGCATCCTTCCACTCTCGCGGAACATCTCCTCCGTTCCACACCTTGACGAGGATGGTATGGAGGTGTCCCAGGACGAAGGGTTCGTCGTCATCGATCTTGAGCAACTCGGCAGGGAGGGAGTCATGGCCGGGTGCCTTCCAGTTCTTGAGGCCTTTCGTTGCCCGTGCCACCTCCTCGAGTTCTGGCACATCTCCCAACCGTTGAGTGTCACGTGTCGCTGGTCGCTGCGTCACTCGTTCGATGATGTCTGGGTTCAGGGTGGGGAATTCGGTGCGGAGAAGGGTGCTGAAGAATCTCGCCCACCGCTGGAGGATGTCGTCCCTGTTCCGGAGCAACACGCCGTTCTCATCCGCGACGAACTGCTGTCCCCCCGCTTGTCTCCCGCTGAGGCCCACTGATCTCTTGAGGTGTTGGTACAATCCTCGCATGTCGCGATCTTTGTAGATTGCTTCGAGTTCCGTCACATATCCGCCCAGGTCGGCATAAATGCCCATTTCGACTGCTGTAGCCACTCCCTTACACGCTGCTTTGAGAACCCTCCACGTCGCTGAGTTCCAGTTGCCCCTCATCGCCCGGCGCGCTTCCCGACGTTTGGTAAGGGCCTGCTCCAGCGCTGCTCGCGTCTCTTGGGTCTCACACCACTCCTGCGTGCGGCGTCTCCGCGGTCCCTCCCCCAGGGTCGTCCGCGCTGCGTCGAGGAGAGCATTGGTAAAGTCGGTCGCCAATTCCGCGGCGGTGGTTGTTCGCTCGTCCAGTCGTGTGTCGAGGTTGAGGAGGAACCGATTGGTCACCGCACACCGTGCTGCTTCGAATTGCAATTCCCGTCGGTTGAATTTTACTTCTCTTTCGANGGGTCTCACACCACTCCTGCGTGCGGCGTCTCCGCGGTTCCTCCCCTAGGATCGTCCGCGCTGCGTCGAGGAGAGAGCATCGGTAAAGTCGGTCGCCAATTCCGCGGCGGTGGTTGTTCGCTCGTCCAGTCGTGTGTCGAGGTTGAGGAGGAACCGATTGGTCACCGCACACCGTGCTGCTTCGAATTGCAATTCCCGTCGGTTGAATTTTACTTCTCTTTCGATTTTGTCCGGACTGCACGGTTGTGGCCAAGCCTGCCACCGAGGTTGACGGTGGCTACTACCATATTTTGGTCTTCGTCTGCTTGACTGGGCGAACCGGCTGGGGGATGAC